TTTTGCTATCATTCCATTTTGGGGAGCCCTTATTTTTATATTGGCTTGCTTCAGGTGATGCTGTACTCAATCCAGAGGTCCTGAAATTTCCTGAGATGCCTTCCTGATTTTAGGTCCTAATTTCAGGGCATTTATCCCAATATAGAATAATGCAAGTGCTACAGAGATTAACCAAAATACCACATGTGATATCAGCAGAGTCTCTTTGGCCATTATATGTTATAATCCCTCAGTCAAGCATTACCAGCTTTGTTTCTGAGAAAGGTTAAAGTTCTTAGTGCTGTGAGCTCCTCCTCCCTTAATGTACGAGTTCCCCCGTTCTGAAGGTAGCAGCAGATTAGTGCTCCTTTGACAGCAAGTGCCAAGCTATTAATAGGTCAGGAATTCCAGATCTGGAACCACTCTGACAGCTAAATTTAGCTCAGCAATCAAGGTCTTTCTATTCAAAGCAAAGAGATTTGATGCCCCTTTAACCCTCGTCTCTACATCATGAAAAATGAGAGCACTCTGGTTGGAGTGCAAAAAAACATTGCTCCATCAGAGCCTGATTTCAGGTCCTGGTATGGGGGTGAAAGGAATTTTCACCCGACAGGGATTTGTGCTCACCTGAAAGGGATCTGTGTTCACCTTAAAGGGATCTGTGTTCACCTTAAAGGAATCCCTGTTTACCTGAAAGGGATCTGTGCTCACCTGAAAGGGATCTGTGCTCACCTGAAAGGGATCTGTGCTCACCTGAAAGGGATCCCTGGTCACCTGAAATGGATCCCTGGTCACCTGAAAGGGACTTCTGTTCACCTGACAGGAATCTGTGTTCACCTGGCAGGGGGAAAACAAACTCCTGGTGCAGCTTGGCCCCTTTCCTGACAGGTGGCCTGGACAAGAGCTTCYTTTGAGCACTCCTTGGAGCTGCTGACACCCTGCTTCCAAGAGCCCTGATCCATGGCAAGTGCACAGTGCAGGGTCCAGACTGAGACACAGCCTCCCAGCAGCCTTTTTTACTCCTGGAATACAGTCTGTTCTCTCTGTGGTGTCTCTCCCAGGACACAGAGGCCTGAGGACATGCAGGGGTCTCACCTGAGAGCTGACTGGCCATTCTGCGCAGGGTGACTGGGGATGGCTTCAGTGGCATCGAGCCCTTTTCCAAAAACACCAGCCCGTCCGCTGTGTATCTCTGCTCTGAGTCCTTGAACCTCCCCAGAGGATTCTTAATGAAAAAGTTCTGGGCATAGCGTTCCAGTGGGTCATCCAGRGATGTGACTTTTCCTTCCTCCCACATCTTGTACAACATAATGGTGGGRAAGATCTTGGAGACACTGGCAATCCTGTTAGGGAACAAACATTTGGAGAAACTGAGTGTTAATAAGCCCACGAATTGTGAGGAAAGTACATGAGATCACCATGGTTTTGTGTGTGACACCTTTGCCCATTCCAGAGGGAATGGCTAAAATACAGGTAGGGAGTTTGAATTTATATCCTTAAATCTGAATCTTTATAGACTGMAACATAGCTCTATCTCTCCTCAGCAGTGCAATGGGCTGCAGATCCCTTTCCATTCATAAAATGACATCAATTGTAAATTACTGGTCAGTAAACACCATAAAAACTTTTATTGGAATTTCAARGTTAAAATCACAGAATTGTTTAGGTTGGAAAAGATCTTTAGGATCATCRAGTCTGACCATTTACTCAGCACTGCCAAGCCTACCCCAAATTGTCCCCAAATGCCAGATTTGCACGGTTTTGGATCCCTCCAGGCAGTCCCTGTGGCGCAATCGGTTAGCGCGTTCGGCTGTTAACCGAAAGGTTGGTGGTTCGAGCCCACCCAGGGACGTGGACCTGACTCCCTGYCTGTGGCAGGAGTGTTGTGAGCCAGACCTCTAACATCCCTTCCAACCCAAACCATTTGATGGTTCTAGAAAAAAAAAATACCGTAAGGTCATTTTATCACTCTGCAGATGGGGAAAAATCAGGTAATCACAGGAGCTGAAACKTCCCCAAATTAGTTAATTCCAAGGACAATTCCAGAGTGCAGGCCATGTGTTTCTTAGATAACACACTAAGAACTTGTTTCTATCTTCAGCTAAAAAATAACAACCAATATGACTTTGACTTTGCTAGGAGGATGAACAAACTTGTGACTCTACTTAATATGTGTCAGTAGATACTCATCCCAAACATCAGTTTTTCCTAAACTGACATTTGAATTTATTTTTTTTTTAATCCTGTGGCACTGTCTCCTCTCTGTTCTCCAAGTCTCTGCCAGCTCTTGCTCGCCAGATTTGTGCCCTGAACATGAAGCCATTCCTGTGTTAGGAGCAGTATGTTTTCAGGCTCTTTAGGGTGGTCACTGCTATGTTTTTATTTCTTAAAAATT